TGATGAAGTCATTTGGATGAAAGATGAAACGCTTCAACAAAAAAAAAAAACATCCAGAGGACCTGACTGAACTTTGTTGAATCCCAGGCTGTATTTACTTAATTTTAAAGCTCGTTAAGAACCAAAATTATTTTTCATTTTGCTCTGAAAGTTAAAAAAAAATCTTGCTCTACCTCTTCCTCACTAACCACGCCGCCGTCAAACACCTTTGCCACCAACTCGTGGCTCACTCGATCCAGCAGGAACACAGAACAACTGGAGGAATAAAGAACGACAAAAATCAGAGATTGATGGAAAAACCCATCAAAGCTGTAAACTTTAGGAGGTTTAGTCACTCTCTCTCAGTCATTTTGCAGCTTTCATTAAATCAGACAAGTTGCTCTTGAACAAATTGCTGAAACTTTCTTGTTAAACAGAGAAACTCGACGTCTCCTTCACATTAAAACATTAGGATTAATCAGAGGGGGCTTACATCTCGGCATCGCTGAGGTTCCTGGCCTCCACTATAATTTCCTGTAACAGCACTGAGACATCATCTAAAGGAGTCGGAGAGAGGGGGAAGGAAAAGGAAAACAGAGGAAATCACAGGAGTGCACAGAAGCCCCGGCTGACAGAAACACAGATTATGACACAAGTACCTGCGCATCAGCCGCACAAACCGATAAGAGCTTTTGTAATCAAAGGTTGAGTCCAGTGAGTGGCAATTTGCTCCACCGCCGGATCAATTTTTGCACCGGTAATCACAAATAAATCAACAATGACATATTCTACTGTTGGGTGCTCGTTTTATAAGAATGGAAGTGGTGTAATTATGCGACGAGGGCCAGGCCATCATTTTTAATGCTTTTTTGATTTTATGATTATGATTCAGGCTGCTATCACCTTTACGGTCAGAGATGGCTCATTCAATTACGTGTGCCATTTGTTTCAATAGGTGACCGTTTAAATGCCTGCCATTAACGCAGACTCTCCACCAGTCTTTCTTTCTGACGCAGACGGACGAAGAGAACCGCAGACAGACGGAGGCAGAAATGGACGTCAACAAAGAGATTTACCCAAGTGCGTGAAGAGATTCTTGGCCACTTGTAGGAGCGCCTATGCAGAAACATTAGACAGTGAATGAATATTAAAAACTCGTGAAAATGCAGCAGGTGCAGCACTCGTGCATGGTATAAATGTGTGCGTGTGCCATACCTGGCACTCCACTTTCAGTTTCTGTTCTTTCTGAAAGGCCAACGTGGACGTGAGGACAGTCGATGTGTAGCAGAAACAGTGCTGGATGGCGTGCTCGTCCACCTGTGTGTGTCTGCACGTCAAAAACACAGACGTGCACAATCGAACCTTAACTCTAAGCACTCATAAAACTGAGAAAACTTTCGATAAAGTACAAAAAATGATGACCAAATATTCTGATAACCAACAGATGGTCGTTATAAAGTAAAGATTTGAAAGAAGCTAAAACAACAGAATGTTTATTTTATTGTTTAGCTTCTTTAACATCATCTCTCACTTAATAAGCCATATTATTGTTAGTATTAATCCATCATTAATCCGTATTCATCAAAAAATATGAATATCTACTGTCATTATCATTTGTACTGGGGTGTTTTTTGTAGCCTTGATGTTCTTATCTGTATAGTGTTTTTGTTCTTCTTGTATTCGGCTTCAGATGTTATCAGCCCATTAAATGGTCCATTATTAATTATTATCATCTCAATAATTAGCGTTCAGACTGTCCCGTCTACCTCCTAGTAGGTTTAAAGGAACGTTATTATTGTTATTATCACTGATAATATGCAGTGTCACACACAAATAAACCAGGAAGTGTTTATTTTTGTTTTTCATTTTATGTAACCCTTTTCCTAAACCTAACCTTACACCTGACCCAGAGGACCAATCTTAAACTTAATCCCCTTACCCTTGTGCCTAAACCTAACCCAGACCATAAACCTAACCCAGATCATAAACCTAACCCAGATCATAAACCTAACCCAGATCATAAACCTAACAGATCATAAACCTAACCCAGACCATAAACCTAACAGATCTTAAACCTAACCCAGACCATAAACCTAACCCAGACCATAAACCTAACCCAGATCATAAACCTAACCCAGATCATAAACCTAACAGATCATAAACCTAGCCCAGACCATAAACCTAACCCAGACCATAAACCTAACCCAGATCATAAACCTAACCCAAACCATAAACC